TGTGGCAGCCATGATAACATCCACAAAGAGTTCGTCCGTTTTTGCAGAGCATCCATGTGGCAACCATGATAACGTCCACAAAGAGTTCGTCCGTTTTTGCAAAGCATCCATGTGGCAACCATTATAACGTCCACAAAGAGTTCGGCCGTTTTTTGCAGAGCATCCATGTGCCAACCATGATAACGTTCTCACAAACTCCGTCGGGTCCCGCAGAGCACGCATGTGGCAACCATGATAACGTGCAGAAGGACTCCGTCCGTTTTGGCAGAGCATCCATGTGGCAACCATAATTTCAAGCATAAACCCAGAGGCAAGCCCAAATTTCGATCATCTCTGAGTCCCTTCGCCTGACCCTTGCATAACTGCAAGATGGGAACCTCAAACAGGAAATATCATGAGCTCCAGGAGTAAGAAAGACTGCAATCATGCAGTCAGATTTTGCAATTGCGAACGAAACGCAAAGAGTGCAGCAGAAACAACAGCACAGTGTCAAACCAACAGTAACTTTACAACCGAACCTAAACTACAATTTTTGTCCCGAAGCTTCTTTTGAAGCCTACATGCATAATCTGTCGCGTTTACCAGTGTTTTCGTCGTCTCAGACTCATAAAACTGCAGGGGCGCCCATGCGCCACGCACCTTGTAGTTTGCCTTGGCGCATCCATTTGCCAGTTGCTGTCCTGAATGCTGCGACGATACTTGGAGCAGTTGCGATGACAGTTTCTGTCCATGCGGGCGGAGCCAGCTTTCATGATCTCACACTTGCCGGTACTGGTATGTTACAGCAGTCCCAAGACCTAGCCAACACACCAGGCTTGGAGACTTTGCTTCGGCTCTGTCGTTTTTTGCAAAAGCGTGCAGAATGATGAATTGAAGCTCCCCTCAACCCTGAAGCCCTTAACCCTAAGCTCACCGTCGGGGTCCCCGGGGTCCCCGCGGGCTTGATAATCCGATCTCCCCCGAGGCGAAGTCTTGCCTTTTCCCTGCGCCACTAGTGCACACGCGATGTCCGCATTGCCGTCAGTTTGAGCAGGCTCAAGCTTGGTCCAGCAAGTTGCTTGCCTTTTGAGTGAAGCCAAGTTCTCCTCAAAGACTGTCGAGGGGGTATATGAACTCAGGATGTGAACCCAGGAAAAGTGCAGAAGCGCTTTGGGTTTGGGGTTAGCTCATCGACACTCTGAGTCACTTGCTTGCGGCCCGGAGCTAGAATTCTACGACGCCATGGGCGCCGGACAGATCCGCGGAAAGGGGGAGCCAGTGGAAGGCACCTGGTGCGGCAAGGCGTGCTGTTCAGCGCCAGGGGAGGTGCTCGTCGGAAGAGCTACGGAGCGGGTTGCTGGGCTCTTGTTACGGAATCTAGTTCAAGTTGCCGACAATAGGGATCTATGGTACATAATATGGTTTCCTTCCTTTGGTGACTTAAATCAAACCCCGCAAAAAAAGAACCCAGGCTGAGACGATGCAGACGAGCGAGGAGGAGGAGAAGGCAGCGGAGCTTGCAGCAGGGCTCCAACGTCGCAGGGAGCTGGAGGAGCCCTAGGACCCCAAAACCCTAGGACCCTAAACCCAAAACCCTAAACCCTTGAACCCTAAACCCTTGAACCCTAAACCCAAAACCCTAAACCCTTGAACCCTAAACCCAAAGCCCTAAACTTAAGTTCCAAGTCCTAAACTCTTGTGAACCCTCAAAACCTTTTTTCAGGAGCTCGAGGCGCTGGGGATGGAGGCAGGAATCAATGCCCGCGCAGACTCGGACATCGAGGCTGAGGACTGTGGGTCTGGGGTTTGAGGCTTTGATTGGGTTTAGAGGTTTAGGGTTTAGGGGTTTCGGGGTTTAGGGTTTAGGGTTCAGGGTTTCGGGGTTTAGGGTTTCGGGGTTTGAGGTTTGAATTGTTTAGGTGCTTAGGTTGTCTTTGGGCTTATGGGTCTAGGGATCTAGGGGGTTCTAGGGGTTGTAGGGGGTTCAGGGGTTTAGGGGTTTAGGGATTTAGGGGTTTAGGGGAAGGACTTTGAGCGGAAGCCCTCGATCATGTCGATGGTTCCAGCCATCGATTGCCTCGCTCCACAGGCGGAATCTTCTCGAGTGTCAGCTCGCTCGTCAACCTTTTCTGGGAGGAGGAAGAGGTTGGTATTGATGGGTCCGGCCGACAGCATGTCTAAGGAGGAAAGGCTTGATTCAAGCAGGTATTCCGTGGTGGATGCCGAGATTATTCGCGGCATCCCTCTGCGTCGATCTCTTAGAGGATACGGCCGGATCTGGCGCTACCAACCTGCCACGTGGAAACCGGAGGAACGTGCTGAACTTTACGATCTCTCGCAGAGGGTGCTTTACTTCAATGTCTTCCTGTCGCACACCTGGCATACGCCTGGTTGGCAGAAGATTCTGGCTCTCTCCTTCCAATGTGGCTGGCGGAGTACGCTTGCAATTTGGTGTGTGGTGGAGACTGCCTGCATGGCCTTGTGCATGGTGGATATGCTGCCGATGCCCCTCGTGTTCCGGGACACTGTAACCGGCTTGATGGTCGAGTCTTGTCCTTGAAGCAGAAAGGCCAACCCCCACTTTAAACCCTGCACGCGCTCTCTGCACTGGCACGCAGGTTCGGACGAAGCTTATGCCACAAACGTTTAAGCGTAACCTCCATTCCTCAGTTTGGAGGAAAGTCCTCCATACCTAGCGGACTGTGGATGCTTATCCGTCTCGGGCTCTCAGCCGTAGACTCTTTCCTCGGCTTTGCTTGGCGTCGGCTTTTATAAAACCTGCGGAGCCTAGATAGCGCCCGCCGCCAGCGATCATCGACCTAAACCCTAAACCCTGTTGCTAAGCCTCCCGAAATCCCGCCTCAGCCAAATTGGCGTTCTGGATTCCTTCGGGCAGACGGAAAAGAGGTGTCAATATTTAAAAAAAAAGGAACCCTATAAACCCCAAACCCCAAGGCCCCCCGAGCCTTGTCTCCAACCCAGGAGGCCCCCATGGGCCTCTGGGTGTTCTTCTCCGGTGCCCTCGCGCTCCTCCTCGGCCTCTTCTTCACGCCCTACCTGCCCTCTCTCTGCAGCTCCTCGGACATGGGATTCATCGATGTGGCCAGCATCCACCAGCAGGACTGGAACCCTGGAGGGCCCACGCAGCCCTAAATCCTGAACCCAAGGATCCTACCGAGAGGCAGCCCTTGGGATTCGGTGTCCGGGGGGTTTTAGGCTTGTTGTTGGAGCGCCCTCTGTTTTCGGAGACTCCCACGTGGCTAGCGAGTGAAGAGAGGACGTGAGGTACTCTGGTTGTTTGGAACGTGAACTTGTGGCTGAAAGTGTACAGCTTCCACTGAGTTCACCCTGTGGAAGGCTACGACTTCTGACAAGATGGACCTCATCACCCGAACCCTGAACCAGAAGACAAGACTGGAAAACCCTGACTTTAAGCCTTGAGGACCGTGCACTCATGGAGCGGGGTGTGTATGGCATTGCCGGATTTTTGCGTGTTTCCTCGGAGCTCCGCATTCTCTGGAGCGCGCCCTACCTGCCACAGTCTCAGCACGTGTGCACATGGTTTGGGGCTTTTGGGGTGATCTCGAGCTCCTCTATGACATGCTTGGTCTGTGGGTGAGCATAGAGTCTTCTTCCATTCCACAGGGGTGTGTTTCTTGTATTCTCAGTTTGCCTCTTTGCACGAGCGGCTGCCATTCGAACTGTGAGGAGGTCCTGTGCCGAGAGCACTGACCTAACCCCTAAACCCCTTAAACCCGTGGAAATTTGTGTTTTCGGCAGGTCTCGTCTGTGGTGCATATTTGAGGTTGCAGCATACCGAAAGGCGGGGACCGCTGTCTTGCGATGCTGACAGCGTCATTGCAGTTTGGTTTGTCTTCCGGAAGGGTACCCCTAAACCCTGAACCCTAAACCCTAAATCCTAGGCCAATGAGTAAACATCCAAAACCCTAAACCTACGGTGTTGGCTCAAGAGGTCAACCCCGATGGCATCATCAGCTTTCGGCCGCTCTTCGTCGACACTGGGCTCTTGCAGGGGCGGAAGTCTTTTGGGTTTGGGGTTTCGGGTTTAGGAATCAGGGTTCTGGGCTCATGAGTTTCGGGTGCAGGCTCCAGCGTCTGGCTTTAGGGTTCAGGGCCTTTTGGGTTTCGTGTTTTTTTTTTCTTTTAGGCCCTCAGGGTTTAAGGAGGCCCGCTTAAGGTTTCTAAGTTTCATGGAAGGGGGCCCCTTCCGCTTCAGGGAGGGGTCGAAGCACCCTCGCAAAGGAACTGCCCGATCCTGAACACAAAAGCCTAAAGCCCCTGAAACCCAACAACTCCGAAAGACACCTTAATCCCCCTAAATCCGAAAAAAACCAACCTAAAGCCATTAAATCCGAAAAAGCAGCCTAAACCCAGAAACCCAGCAAATGCGCAAGAAGACACCTTAAACCCCATAGCCCCCAAAGCCCAGGAAAGGACCGCCTTGGTCCTCTTGATCGCCTGCTTGAGCTTCGGCGCTTACGTGCCGGGTATGTCTCTTGGACCCTGAGACCTTGAACTCCAGACCTGTCTGGGTTCGGATGTTGGGGCTTAAGGGGGGTTTGGTGGTTTTAGGGGTTTTGCGGTGTTTAGAGTTTTGGGCTATTTGGGGGGTTTTTAGAGAGTTTTCGGGTTTTAGGGTTTTAGGGGTTCTAGGGCTTGAGGGTTTGAGGGGTGTTTTAGAGATCGCAGGCCACGACGGAACCAAAACCCGTCCCGGGACCAAACTCCGGAATTCCGCAGCCTTAACCCCGACACTTGTAAGCCCTTACGGAACCGAACGGGTACACCTTACCCCCGAAAGGCTCATATTTTAAGGCTTTTGG